TTTTAACCACCTGAGCTTGGTTATTTACAGTGGAAGGCAAGCTGCAATTCCTTCCTTTGATCTATTTGTTGGCTTCAGGATTACATTTCCCAACCTTGCTTTTTAATCACTGTAAACATCAGGAGGGAAGGAGTCAGTGGAGAGAAAATGGGCTACTGCTTTGTGGTTTTGATCAGACTGGTCTTTGATGACTTCCCTTTCCCACTTTCAGTGCCTGAACTTTATATGTGACACCACCACATAGTCTCAGGCTCTGGGATCTGCATGTGGAGCCGTATTTTGCTGCCACATCTCCATTCCCAATCCTATCCCCATTCCATGTCCCAGTGGATACAGCCCTGGGTCTGTCACCATTCCCAGACGGAGTGGGGCAGGGTCCCACAGAGGCACATGATCCCTCAATCAACATTCCCTCACGAGCAAGCCTGGAAAATCACACTTTGCTTTACCAAAACCCCTCACCCGTGTGTTTATCCCTGCAGTGCTGGCAAACCCCTGAAGCCAAGGAGCCCAAAAACTGCTGATGGGAATTCCTGAAAGATATCCCAGCACCGTGGAGCAGAGCAGGGTGGCCCAAGCTGCCTTTAAATGAGATAACCCGGGGATAGCAGCAGTCTTTCTGCCACAGGATGGAGCTCAGTGCAGGCTGCAAAGCATTCCTAGGAAGCCTGATAAATACTCAAGCGTCTCTCTGTCGTTGATGTCCACACTGCAGCTCCTTGGTTGTTGCCATCAGCACCCATCTGGCAGCTCAGAAAACCTCCTTTGCGTAGGTCTGAGTCCCATTGCAGAGCCTGCACCAGAGCCTGCACCATCAGTGTGCCTCTGGGTAGATAAAATCCACAGTGACTAAAAAAAATCCTGTAGGGGAAGGTCTTGATCACGTCTGAAGAAAGTACAATACCCCAGAAAAAAGTGAGGGGGGAAAAAAGAGGCAGCTTTTGTAAAACGTTGCATGTGAAGAAAGAGCATGTGAACTCTGTGGCTTTGATTTTGTCCCACTTGCTCTGTTCACCACCTCTACAAAGTGTTTCTCACACAGATGTGTATTTTTAACAACACTGAAAAGAACCTGCCAGAATTGGAAGCTCAAGCTAATGTCATGTAAGAGGTTAAATGGCATAGGAAGGATTTATTTGCTCTTTTTAAACCAAGAATGGACAAATTAGTATTAATGGGGCTGAACTTTCTGACTGTGAAATTTCACTAAATATAAATATTTAACATGAGAAATCCTCAGAGTTTCTCTTCTATCTGAGCACAACACACAACCAGAAACGGATTTACCGAAGGAGTTAAAAAAGTTTTCTGCAATAATGCAACAAATCACTCTATGTAACAGACACAGACGCATTCTGTGGCAGTTTGGGGGGAAAAAAAAAATATCTTGATTTATTATATAGCATTTGGACAGTTGTGAAAGCAGATTTGCCAAAGATCAGAATAATCAACTCTTTCACCCAAGCAGTTTTTTTTACGGAAGAAAAAAGCACAGAATGGGCCTGAGCAAAATAAATAAAAATTCCACACTTTTAACCAAGAGAACCTTTTGCATCATTCAGAAGTATTTACAGACATCCAGAATCTTTTATCATCAAAACGACACTCTGGCCTTTAAAACTGCAACCTTTTCTTACACTTTTGCTTACTGATGGCCTTTAAACTAGTGGGTGTCTCAAACCTGAGGCATCTCTTCGTGCAGAGTCAAATGTGGGAGCTTTTAAAGCTGCTCCTTGATATTTTTTCTCTTCCCCTGAAACACCCCTCTTTTGCTGAGCTATCAGCTATGAGCTGTAAAGGCAGCAGAACCCCACCATGAGTCATGGTAAGTAGTGTCTCAAACATCACTTTTCGTTGCTTGAAAAGGCTTCTAATGCCAATATGGAAATTTTCCCACCTGGAAAGGGCTGTCTGTTTTAATACAATTAAATACAGCCAGGAAGAGGGCTGCAAATGGAAACATATATCAGCCATTCAAGGTATACAAGCCTCACTCAGCCCAGTAAAGGTATCAGTGTAGCATCCCTGCTCCCCATGCCTGTTTAATTAACACACAATGAAGGCCACTGAATTTCCCTGCAAAAGGTGTTGCATACTTTGGACAAAAAAGAAAGGAGAAAAGAGGTTGCTTTTAAGTGCAATCCAAAAAAATAGCTCCTTGGCTAAATGGCACTTTTAATAAAGATGTTTCCAGTGTTTGTTTATTTATCAAAAAGCAGTGTTTCTCTCAGGTGTTTTGATTTTTATTTCTGTTCACAAGAAGGAGGGGAAAAAAGGGCTTTACTAAGCAAGTCTTTCAGTAAGACACCAGATGATGGATAGTCAAACACAGAGTCTCCTGTAAACACAGAGGTAACCAAAAGGTATGAACTGACTCATAATTGTGTCAACACAGGTCGCAGACCCTTGGTTTATTTCAGCCTTCCTGTTTTTCACAGATTTCTTTTCACACTACACTATTTTTTTTAAGACACAGACTCTTTTCAGTACACCTTAGCGGGGTGCAAAAGCACACACGTTTTTACACCCAGATGTGGGCAGCTACACACACATGCAGGCTGCACTGCCACAATCACAACAGCAGCATTTTCCACCCATTGCTTAGGGCTGCATTAAACTACACTGTGCAGCCCATGCTCAGCCTGAACCAAAAAGTCCATCCCACCCCTGCCTCAAGCCTTTCCCTGGAGGCTCTTGGGAAGCATCCAAAAAAGAGGAGTACAACAAAACCTCAACAGCCTGGAGCTCCAGCTCATGCAACACTCCAAGACTCGGTGTGATTTTCTTTTTAACCAAAGTGGCAAGACTCTGTCTGACCAAAAGTGCTGGGAGGTGAACAGGCAGCAAAGAGGTCTGTGAGGAGCAGAACCTGCCCATATTTGTCTTGGTCTCTAAACAAACTGAATTAGGCTGCAGCCTTTTCCTTGTACAAAGTTTAGAATCATAGAATCATGGTTTGGATTGGAAGGCTGGAAAGATCACCTAGTTCCAATCCCCCTGCTGTGGGCAGGGACCTTCCACTAAAAGCCCCATCCAACCTGGCCTTGGAGGAAAAAGCCTTTTTGGGGTCTCTGTTTCATTATTAGCACTGACTAGCGGGTTAAGAAATTGTTAGGGGAGGGTCTGATGGGCAGACACACCAAAAAGCTGAATTCCCTGCAAGTCACAGAGCAGTTCAGCTGATGGTCCAAGGAAGATTTTTCAGTACATTCCCTGATAAAATCACCTCTGGAAACACCTGAGATCTGAAACCCTGAGATCCTTTTAAATGACTTGCAGAAAATGAAGGGTTAAAGCCAGGGAAATGGTTCTTCCTCAGCAGAGGCAGTAAAAGAAGCAGTTTAAGGCCAGACTGCAACCACCAGAAATTGTTCCTGGATGCCCAGAGCGAGGGATCTGCACATGAACGGATCCATCCTGAGCACCTCAGACCAACCACACACATGCAAACCACTTAATGCTATAGACCCATCCAAGGTGTGTCAGGTACCCTGTGTGAGCAAGGAGAAGTTCAGACAACTGTTTGTCTGGGATGTTTCGACCTCAGCTGGATCAACTGAAAATGGTAGAGCCAGCAAGGGCAGATGACCTCACTGAGGCTTAGCAGTGCCTCATTCCCTGTGTAATCACATCCAGCTCAGCAGGAAAGCCACTCAATAAAAATCAGAGTCACAGAACAAGGATTTGGACCTTATTTCCCACTGTGGAAAAGTCAGCTGCTAAAATTCCCAGTCAACAGGTAATCATTGTCATGAAGCCAAATCCATCCAGAGATCACACAAGGGTTGGTTACTTCACCAAATCATTCATGCAAAAAATTCAAACCAAACTACATTTAGGACAAAGCACACACACACACACACAAAAGGAAAAAAAAAAGCCAGAAATAGCATTTCAGAAACTGAAATAATTGGTAGACTTAACTTTTTTGAGGCCACTCATTTTAGGATACTACACCTTCGTAAAGAGCAGCATTTTATCTGGAACCATTTCCCCCCTGCAGAAACCAAGGTTGATAGAACAACAGGGAGAATTCCTTTTGCAGATTACAATATATTAAGTCAGATTTGCTTCCAGCAGGTTCTGTACCTTCAGGAATTGGTCAGGGTTTGTGGGTTTGTCGAGTGACCATAAACTGGGGAAAACCTACACCCTCTTCCACTGCCTCCCCTCTTTTCTTTACCTCCTTTTAGCTCTGCAGCAGAAGATGAGAGGAGAAAATTTTACTGAAGGAGACCATGAAAAGACTTTCAAAACATTCCACATATTTTCTCTGCATAAACACGCTGTGAATTTCTAAGGTAAATAGAGCCAGGGCACTGTCACTCAGACCCCAGGAGTTCACCCAAGTTAGACAAATTATGCTGCCTGTTATCTCAGTTGTTACAGATTCTTGCCTTTCATTCATTCCTTGCCAGTGGCTGGATTTGATGTGTAGGGGAGAAAAGAAGCCTCAAATGCTGAAGTTAACCTTTTGTGGTGAGACCAGTAATGCTGGGCTTTCCAGAGGAGAATGCAGAAGGAGATAGCTGCTAGCCCTGTTTGCCAAGGCAGCAGCCAAAAAAATGCTAAAATTTGGCAGGTATGAGCAGGAGAAAGGCAGTGCTACAAAAATGGCCATTGTAAGCTCCCTTCCAAATCTGCAGTGTTTGGCCCACACAGATAAAACAAATTAAGTAAAAAAAATTTGTACATGTCCTATAAAAACCTACATAAAGCAGTGTCATGGTTGTGGTTTGAATAGAGGATGGTGCTGCTGAGCCTGGCAGAGGTAGTGCCTGTTGCTTCAAACACCATATCCAGACTATAATTAATACTGACCTTCAACTACAATCAGCAAGTCTCATTTCCTCCCTGATAAAGAGCTCCTTATTAGAAGAGAATGCAGGATGTGATGAGGGGACCCGTTTCTGAATGTCTTTTTACAGCCACAACGGTCCTGGTAGGGAGGTACTGAGTTTTATTTATGCAATACTTCCAAAGAAGGGAAAGGCTCTTACCTATGGTTCTTCGGAGATCTTCACACTGGCTAATGTGAGGGAATTTCAAGATTTCCTTCCACTTTTTGCTTTTGCCTTTGCGTTTCCCTCCACCCCCTGCAGAGAAAGAAACGTCAGGATTAGATTGCTTTAGGGGGCATAGTCACACCCAGAGTTCACCAGCCCAGTCACAGTTCTTATGGATACCAGTAACAATTAAAGCTGAGACACTGTGGGTTCATGAACAGGTAGATCCCTGGATGTGTCCAAGGCCAGGTTGGATGGGGCTTGGAACAACCTGGGATAGTGGAAGATGTCCCTGCTCATGGCAGGGGAGTTGGAACATGATGAGCTTTAAGGTCCCTTCCAACCCCAGTCATTCTATGATTCTATGATACAGATAAATCTGAGCTTGTTTGGCCTTAACCAGACCAAGGAGGTGGCATCTGGCAGAAGATCAGATTGCTAAAAGTTGGGAGTCCAGGTTTGTGGCCCACCAGGTCCAGTTCAGATGACAGTGCTGAACCAAGCATCTCCAACATCACCTCTGCCCCAACCAACAGCCATTTCACACAAGTCAAATAATCTTGTAAAATTACAGCCCACATCTTTTCAATCTGGGTATTCCCCTTCTGGTTTTGGGATAAGCCCTGACTCCATCGCAAAAGAAGTGCTGGAGACTGAAGACCAAAATTCAATTATCACCATCCCCCCTGCCTCCCATTACATGTACTGCCAACATGGAATTACTGCTGGTGTTACACACTCTGGCCACTGCTGCTTCCACAGGAGAACAGTGGGAGAAAATTAACATAATGGTCTCATGAGGAAAACATCTCTTATTGATTCTTTTTCCTCCTTCTCACTCCTCCAGATCTCCTGAACTGAACTGTTCTCAAGGTGCATGACCCAGCTGGCTTCCTCCAACTCTGGCTGAACGAGACCCTCAGCCTTTCCATGCTGATAAATCTCCCTCATCCATGTCTCTCCATAAACACCTCGCTGCAGGCACCCCTGGCATCTCTGGGTGCCACATCTGAGCTGCCCAGGGGGCTCTGACCAGCAAACCTCACTTTGCTCCTTGCTGGGACTATCCCTCTGGATGAGACAGCCCAGAGGCAGGCTGGGATTCTCCAAGTCTCTGTCTGTGCTGCAGTTCAGTCCCTGCACACAAAATCTGATTCACTTGAGTCTGTTTTACATGCACTGGCACATCAAATGACTAATTCAGAGCTGAGTTAATTTTGTAGAGGGGCTGGTAGAGTCACAGTTGCAGACTGAGGATGTGTTAGGTCCCACATGACATTGCAGGCTAAATTAGGAGAGCATTGACTCAAAAGGTTGCAGACCACCACAGAGGAAACATGACCCTCAGAAAAAAATGCCAAGTATTGCACTCTGTGGGGTGTTCCTGATCACACAGAACCTTTGGCATAGGAGGGCTTCTTTTGCATGTCAATTTTATTCCTTTGCTTTTGGTGGCCAATGGTTTTCCCATCACAGAGTCTGCCTTGAGTTATTTTAAAACTTCTCAATCACAGAAACTGATTGCATTTCTACAGTATGCAGTGTAGAGCAGAGATACCTGCACTAGCCATAAAGGAAGTAGCTTGTTTAGACAATCAGAAGTACAGCCCTGAGACCCTTTCCAGGAATCAGACTCCAGCAAAGCACAGAGAGCTGTGACTGCCTCCACACTACATAGTATTATGCAACACAGATGTACCCTCTGGGTCTGTAATGAATTCTGCTCCCACCTCACCTCTTCAGTGCATCCCAAACACTGCTGCTAAAGTAATTTCCTTTCCCATCCCTCCAGCCACAGCATCGGAGAGGCTGTCCTGCTCCCTTGCTCTTGCACGCTGAGGGTCTTAAGTACACAAGGTGCTGAGAAGCATTTTGTGGGCTGGGGTGAGCACTGTGATCATCTGTTCACCACTTCCTGAGGCACATGGCTCTGCTCCGGCTGCCAGTGACCACAGGGCTTGGATTCAGCAACCCAAAGGGTCCTCACTGACTTTCATCTCCCAAAAGCCCACTCTTGCAACTCTGCCACCTCTGCTTGTCCCTCTTCTCCCTCTCTTCTGGCAGTGCTGTGCCTGAGGCACCCCAGGACACGGTTGGCCCTCCTGCCTGCCAAGAACTCTTGTAAGCTCTGAGTTCTGTGCATTGATGTCAAAGCTCCACAGGAATTAAATGAATTAAGTACATATTATCTAGCACTGGGGGAGGGATGGGAAGGAAGGGGAAAGCAAGGAGGGAAACTGCTGGACTGGTGTTAGAGATGAATGATCCCCCTTTGACAGTTACAGGGTTTGAATCTGGATTTCTGGATCCCTTCCTCAGGCTGTCAACTTCTAGAGTAGATCATCGCACCTCCATGTACAAACATGTGCCCCTCATTCCTGGCTGCTGCCTCTGCCACTGCAGGGACCTGCTCTGCTCTTCCCAAGGATCTGACAGACAGGGGTGCTGCAGCAGGACAGCCAGGAGCTCTCTGCTCTGGGGCTGTGCAGCTGCTTGGGCAGCAGTGCCTGCTCCAACAGTAATTCCAAACATTTCTGGACACAAGAGGCAGTGGGAGTAAGCCAGATGAAAGTATCCTTTAGGGTCCCTCTGCTCAACACTGGTACATCTTCACCCACTGAAGGTGGGACCTTCCAGGCCCGAGCACTGGAGATTTCAGAGCACACCTGCTTCTCCGGCCACCGTCACAGAAGTCCTCACAAAAGGGTTGCATCTTAGCACAGCATCAAGCAGTGCAGACCACTGCAAAACAGCCCTTGGCTCGAAGTGACAGCTCTGAGATTTGTGCAGGGGCGAAACGATCCCGCTAAGCTGGGCCAGAACACTTTTAAAATCCACTCGATGTAAAGCATATATTGATATATTTACATTGGATGATGTATTTCCGACATTAAATTTCCATCAAAACCGGAGAAGGGCTCTGCGGTCCCCTGTTACAACCGTGATCGATACAGCCAGCGTGTTCTCTCCTCTTTTGTGGCCATCCTCCAAAAATAAGCAGCCTCGCCTGATGAATCATTTGCTCTTAGCTGAGCGTGAAGTAGCGTTGCTGCTTTGCCTGTGACGTCTTTATGTTAAAGATTCTGATCAAGTGCTTTAATCGACCTGACCTTTCCGCTCCCGGCTTCTCTCGTGGAGCCAGCAGGGTTTGCTGGCTCCAAACCTTCATTCTGGGGGGTTTGAAGGACATAATGAAGTGAGACAGCTGAGACAGAGTAAATTGTCTAGCAGAGCTAAAAGCTAAAAGGGGAGGTTTCTCTGAATAGGTCAGTCATTGTGCAGGTTGCAGAGGGAAGCTTTTCACACGTTGTCTTGACTGCTGCCTTTGCACCATCTATTCTGCCCAGGATTTGCAAACTTCAAGGCAGCTTCTCAGGGCAAGACTTGACAGGAGGGCCATGTATTAGATGTGAGTTGCATCATGTGGGGTTGGAGGGTCTGACTGCTTTAAAATCTTGGTTTGCTGCTGATGATGAAAGGTGAGCTGCCAGCAAAAGCAGGAAATCTCAGCTCTGCTCCCTGGCAGGCACTTAACAACTCAGCATTTGCAAACTGAGGGTTGAAGCTAATTCTCCAGCATGTCAACCAGTCCTGCAGGAAACAAAAGCATTTGCTCTACATCTTACCTACTGAAAAATACATGGCTTTTTTCATATCATCTTGTGATGCCACATGGCAAATCTAGCTCTGATCTCTGCCTGCAAGGAGAGAGACATAACCAGAGGCACAAATGTAAAACATTTGCAAGCAGGAGCTACCCGTAGCCTAAAGTACCTACTTTTTTTCCCCCCTCCATTATTCATGATATACTTATTCTCCTAACACTGAGAGGAGACAGGAAAATACCTGCACATTATTGAGCCTGTGAGATATTAAGTGGCTTGTCCAAAATTACGTGAAAAATCAGAGAAAGAGGAAGGAGCTGAAGAAGAAGCTGAAGCAGCCAAGGTGCTGAGCCCTTTAATCCTGCTAAGGACAGCACCAAGCCATGCTCCTGCTCTGCTGATTGAAGACATTTCACAGCACAGAGTAAAACATACTGTTGGGTGAATTCATTCCAGCATCATGCCTGTAGCGTATTGCATTTGTGCCTCACACCACCATGCAAGGTGGCTTTTAAGCATGGCTGAGCTGGCTTCCTGCAGTTGCTCTGTTCTTGCTCAAGTTGATAAGCCAGCATCACATCCCACACTGCCAGGCCTGGCTGACCCAAGGTAGCCTAAAATTTCAATGCCTCCAACTGTACTAACTGCAATCTAGTTAACCCAGTTTAGGTGAACTACCCACACATCACTGGAGGATGACTACAGCTGGTGTCTTCTGTTTGGCAACAGCAGCCAGGCTGTCATCCAAGGCCTTCCCAACAAGAGTAGGGAGCTCTGTATGCTTGGAATGCAAGGCCTTGATTGCACAGCACGTGAAAGCAGTGAAACAAACTCCAAAAAATACTAAAAGTCAAAAAATCATGGTTAGCATCCCATTTCCACTCAAAAGATATCCGTGTTTCTTCTTCTCTTCCCCTCACCATGCTTCTTTTACTCACTCTCTCCCATCAAGGTGTTTATGTATATATATAGGGTATATATGGAATTGCCATATTACATTAAGGTCTGTCCAGTACAGGACAGACCAAAGGCAGTTTCAGAGGAAGATCTTGGAAAGCTGCTTCTAAAGTATTTGAAAAGCAGGAATGTTCCTCCCCATTCTGTTAATTAGATATGGTTAACAAAACATGAAGGTGTATTGCTTCCAAACAATTTCTTCTTCTTCTTTTTAAGAATCTGTGTCACTTAAATTCAGGCTGTTCTCATGATCCTGGTAAATGCCCTGAACTGTTGGGTACCTGCATGCCTCGTGGGTGGGAGTCCCAGAGTTTAACCATGTATTTATGAAGGAAAAGAATACCAATTTTAATCTGCTTATTTTCCTACAGTGCCTCTTCCTAATGAGACAGCATGAATAAAACTTATCAGCCCATTGTTTTCCCCTAGGCATTTTTCATGTCTAACACATTTAGCCCCCAAGGCAAAGAGTTTCACCCTTATTAGACCTGTTTCACATGGAAGTTCTCCCAGGTTCACTATTCTTCT